TGGGGTGTGGGAAAAGCAGAGAGAGGGCAGGAGGTGAGGAGCGAAGGAGGGGGACAGACTCTGGCAGACCTGGGACCCTCCCTTTCTACATACTCTCCCCAGTCCTGGCAGCAAAACACCCTTTGTGACAGGGGAGGCAATATACAACAAGAGGGACATGAGCAGAGGAAATATGAAGGTAGTAGGAGACACAGGGAGGAATGCAATAGTTAAAGTGGATAGAGGTAAATGCTATTAACTGATGGCACATGGAGGGGATAGCAACCATATATGAAGCAAAGTATATGATTTGTTGAATGTAAAACTTTGTCATTTGTCATCCCAGCTGCATCTGCAACCTTAATCTCTACCCCAATAGGTAGGTCCTAGAAGCTGCCAGCATTCTTAGACAGTGATACCAGATACTGATGGGATGGCTCTAGAGCTTGGGCTGGGAGCAGAGAAGTCTCAAGAACTCCCAGAGTTGGAGGAATAAGAATGAAGATTCCTTCAACTGTAAAAGAAATCTCTCAATATAGTTCTCCACAGAGGTGGGAGAATCTACCAGGAAAGGTGCTAGAGGTCTTACCATCCTGATTCTAGGCCTGAGAGTCTTCCAGAATCCCTGCTGCCTCTGCTGCTACAACAGTGTAAGGGAACCTGGGAGCTGCTTCCCTCTGACAGCCTGGCTTAAAGCAGACTGAGTGTGCCCACAGCTTCCCCTTTAGGCGAGCTGGAGAGGTTAATGGAGGGAAGTGGGTTCCTACTTCACCAGTCTGTGGTTCCTGCCCAGCCTGCTGGTCCAGACTCCAGACACAGGCTTCTCAAACAGGGAGGGGGGCTACCCTTCAGTCAGCCCCTCCCAATCAAGCTGATCCAGCAGCCCCCAGATGAGCAGCACAGTGAGGACAAGGCCTCCTCTCACATCATGACATCCCTCCCTTCCAGTCTCTTCAGCATGCAGCCTCTACTCACAGTCACTGAGTTGATTTCAATTCCTAGTGACACTGTAGGACTCAGTAGAACTGCTCCACAGGGCTTCTGAGACTAAATCTTTATAGAAGCAGCCAGTCTTATCTTTTTCCTGAAGAAGGGCTGGTGGGTTCAAACTTCTGACTTTTGGTTAGCAACCCAATGCTTAACCCACGGTATCACCAGGGCCTCAGTCTCTCAGAACCATATCTTCCCATTCTGACTTCTTCCTCTGGTCCCTTTGTCTGGAGACTCTCTTAAACACACCTACAATTACACTCTTCGTGCAATGAGCCTGTCTCCCTGCTTCTCTCCGCCTCATTCCTTTTCTCTGCCCCCTCTTGCCTCTCTTGTCATAGTTAATTAACTGTGTAAAGAGCCACCAGGACTGGGCTGATTGATGGCCTTTCCCTTGCCCAGCTTTTCCTCTGGCCTCTCCATCTTGCCCCTCCCCAGTCCCTTTCTTATCTTTTCCTCCACCATACATCTTATCTTCAGGGAGGGGCTTTCAGAGGAAAAGGACTTCTGGATAAGTCAATGCAGACGGCGCATTGTGATGTGACATCGGGAGGGAAGTGCAGGCCGTTGCTGAAGATAAGGATTGCTTGGACTCTCTCGGGAGTACTGTATGAATGAAGGATGCTCCTCAGATCAACTTTCCTGAGTCCCATCCTTCCTCATTCCTAATAGAGCAAGGCCTGAGGTGGGTGGAGAGGCAGAGTAGCATGGAAAAGGGGTGGGGGCTTGAAAGAATCAGAAATGAGTTTAAATCTCAACTCATGACAGTTACTATATCACCATGGGTAGGTAAGCCTCAGTGTGTCCATCTGTAAAATGCAGACAGACTATACTATCAGCCTCATAGAGCCTGGTACAAGTTGTATGCTCAGTGATGTTGGTTCCCATTCCTGCTGTCAAGGTGCTGGGCCATCCAATCTTACCCCTGCATTCTGAATTCAGTCCAAATGCTAACCTCTTCATAGAAGTCCCTGGGTGGTACAAATAGTTAAGCACTCGACTGTTAACCAAAAGCTTGGTGGCTGAAATCACCCAGAGGCACCTTGGAATAAAGGCCTGGCAGTACTTCAAAAAGGTCAATGCTTTGTAAACCCTGTGGAACACAGTTCTACTCTGCAACATGACTAATGATGACAATCCTCTTTGAACATGCCCTTAATGTATATGCATATCCATAATTTCATTTTGACAAGAAGGAAACTGCCATGCAGGTAGGTGAATTGTGGCTATGTGAGTAGATGGCCAGGTAAGAACAAAGGATTCTGACTCCAGAGCTCCAATCTTGGGAGTGCTGGAGGCTCTAGCTGCTGGAGAAGGAACAGAGATGAGGGTTTGAGGTATGCTGAGAAGCTCAACTGTGCAAGAGCTTCCAAAGAAACAAGAATGGGAGTCTGCCCACCTCCCTCCAGTCCTTGTTGGGTGAACTTGGGGACATTCCTTTCCTTCACTGAAACTCCATTTCCTCTTCCTCATCTGCAAGGGGGCAGGCCTGATACTAAGGGAGATAGCTCCCTGCCCTGAACAGTCTGTAATCCTTTCCTGCAAAGGGACCCAGTATTGTGCACAAAGGATGGAGCTACAGCTTAAACCTGTTCAAAGAGTAAAAATCTAGTCCCTATCTTCCCACCCTCCTTCCTGATCCTCCATTTCCCCTCTTCCCCACCCCCACCCTGCCACTCCAGGGCCTATAATCAATGAGTCGTAAAATTAGAAAGTATCAGGAACCAGCAAAGCATGGCCACCAGCTGGGGCAGCTTCCGCCTGCCCACCCTCCAGTATGCTGGACTGCCAGCCCTTCACCTCAGCCCACCCACACTAGCCTAGCCGCTCAGCCCAGAAGCCACTCGACTAGCTGCCTGGGCTATGTGTATTAGTGGAGAACAGAGAGAGGGAAACCATTTCCAATGAGTCAAAATGCCTCACCTGAAAAAGTAATGAAATCTGTATGCATTGACATGAAAAGATGTGTCTAGGATATATGTTTGAGTCATAAAAGCAAGTAACAGGATTTTACCTATAAAATGAGTCCCTTTCTGTTATTATATGGAAGTGCTTGTACATATAAAATATCTATAGATATATATATTAGACTCCAAAATGCAAATAGTAGCTATCTCTGGGAGCAAGATTACAAGGGAAGCCTTCACTTTCCACTTTATATACCTCTCCTTTGTTGAACTCTTAAAACATTATTGCTTTTATAATTGAAAAAAATAGGGATAATGATATATTCTTATAATAAAAACGTAAAGATCATTTTTATGAGGGGAGAAGTCTCACAGAAATCACAGATTACAAGTGTTATAATTATTATTTCATTGTTTGCTGTCACCTCTATCTCACAGTGACCCTATAGGACAGAGAACTGCCCCATATAGTTTCTGAGGCTATAATTTTTAGGGGTACAGAATACCAGCTCTTTTCTCCCATGGAGTTTTAACTGCTGACCTTTCCGTTAGACTAACCAGTGTGCCATAAGGGATCCTATGTTACAAATATGCATGGGCTAATGAAAACTTCAGTGTCTTGGTTTGGGGCTGGGATTTATATTTACCTGTAGCACAAATGGCTAAGTGCTTGACAACAGCCCAGGAGGAAGATAGGTCTGGTGATTTACTTCTGGTAAGTCACCCACAGCCTTGAAAATCCTACAGAATAGTTCTACTCTGCACACCTGGAGTCATCATGAATTGGAAGTGACCTGAGGGCCTCTAACAGTTAATACCTGCTGAACTGAAGCACTAGATCTAAAATCAAAGCACAAAAGTCTGGTTCTTTTTTTAAATAAGAAAAATCAACAACCCCTTTATGAGAATTATTTCTAAAACCAAATCTGTCAATATATGGTTAAAACAAAGGGCAAATAATATACAAGAGGTCCTTGGTGTCTACAGCCCAAACCTTGACTCAGGGTTGACTGTCACTGGGGGCTTGCTTCCCTAGCAGTTTACAGCCCACATCAGCACTATAGCCCAACTACTCTCCCTCAAAGGGACCCTGCTACCATCTGCATGGGAGAACACACTGCCTGCTGGTTGGAGTCTTTGGGAATGACACCCAGAATCTCTTGGCTTCCAGTTTTTCTCTGCCCTGAGCCTATGATATGATGGGGGCTGGGCATCACCGCCCTGTTTTGAGTCACTTGAGCCCAGTGTGAAGCAGGACAAGCTGAATAAAGGTGCTGATGACTTTTAGCCTATATCTAAATGATATTTGAGGTGGAGGCACTGGGAAGGGACTAGGAGGGCTCCTCTATGGGATTCTGTCACATCCAAATGGTCAGTTCTATCTGCCCCTCCTGAGGACTCAGCACAGGGCCTGGAAGATGCAGTCAAACACAAGTTTATTGATGAAGCAGCTGCAAAGTCCTCCCTCTCTCTGGGATAGCCAGTGGCACAGCACCAACAGAGGGACGGACAGACAGACCCCTAAACGGACACAAGGATGATGCAGACTCAGAGAGACCATAGCACAGCCACACAGGCACAGAGACACACAGACCACAGCACCAGGAAACACACAAAGAGACAAAACCACAGGGCTAGAACACAGACAAAGTGCGGGCTTTGGGGCCCCTGCATAGACAGAGCAAGGCCACATGGGGAGAGGGCCCCTCTGATCTCCCCCAGGCACAGGCACATGGACAGCACACAAACAGGCAGATGCCCACAGCCAGCCAGCCAGCCTGCCACAGACAGATGAACTGCATGGAAAGGAGGCTCATGGCTCCCCAGACCATGGGGAGAAGAGACCAGGGGATTTCTACACCCTCCCCCATTGCATTGAAGCCCAGGATCCCCTGATCCCAGCATTCTGAACCTTAGCCTGGATTCCACCCTCCCACTCCCTCACACACTTTGGTCTTGCCCACAGGGGCTAGGGAGCTGGGGAGTTTGGCAGGTGGAAGGAGGGAGAGAGGAAGAGGTCTGGGCCCAACTCAAGTCTCCTTTCCATGAGCAGGGACACAGGAGCTGAGAATCGAGGGCTGAGCCTGGGCCTGGCAGTGGGATGGGTAAGGGTGGGGTCATGGTTCAGGCTTGTGGGGGCTCCTGGCAGCGCAGACAGTGGGCCATCTCGGGCCGGTACTGCTCAACTTGCAGGGTACAGCTGGAGAACCCAAACTGAGAGTAAAGCCGGGATGAGGCTTCAGCCAGGACAGCTTCAGGGTCAGCGGCTGCATCTGTGGGAAGTGATAAGATATAGCCTCAATCTCTAGGGAGTGGGGAACAAGGTGGGGGCTGAGATAAGGATGCTGGGATCTGGTTCTTTGTGGAGGGGGGCCCCAGGCTTACAAAGCATTCAATGGAGAGCTTTTGTTTTCTTTCCACATTGTACCAACAGCAAAAAAACGTTGCGAGAAACCCACCCTTAATCAACCATGCTCACACATTAAACTGGTTTTTTTTTTTTCTACCTTCTTCTGCGTTTTGAGTATCACTATTCAACTATATATTTCAGCAGTCATACCACCCGATTTTCCAGGACACTTCAGATGATAGGCATTCCATGCCATTGTCCCTCTACAGTTACCAACAAATAGCACATAAATATGATATTTTTGGCATCAAAATTGCATGTCTCTGATTGCTTCTTACATCTGGAAGACACTCAAAAATCCTTTGTCAGCTCGTGAGTCACCATATATATTTTTAATAGTTGAATCAAAATGTAGATGTAATTTTATATTTAGATTTTTTTTCTGAGCTTTATACCATAAACATTTCCCTGAGTTGTCATACAGTCTTCATAATTATCACCTTAATAGTCACATGACACCTCACTGAGTGAAGGTACCATAACTTACCTAACTGTGCCCCTGTCACTAAACCTGTAGCAGTTTGTTTTGTTTGTTAAATGCCATCGAGTCGGTTCCGACCCATAGCGACCCTGTACAGGGTTTCCGAGGGTGCAAATCCTTACGGGAGTAGTAAGCCTCATCTTTCTCCCGCGGAGCGGCTGGTAGTTTCAAACCGCTGACCTTAAGGTTCGCAGCCCGATTCGTAACCACTACGCTACCTGTAGCAGTAGTGATCTTTAAAAAACCACCGCAAAAGGTGAAACCTTGACCAAAATAAGCTCTTCAGACCTCCGTATTTCCAACACATGTGTGTGTTTGAAAGAGAGAGAGAGACAAACAGACAGACAGGCAGAGACAGAGATTGTAACAACCCCTGTTGGGAGAAGAAATGTTTCCAGGAAGTAACCAGTGTGGACTCACCAATGGCCAGGTGTGCGGAGGCAACATGGTAAGTGAGCGTGAGGGCCCACAGATGCAACTCATGGGTGGCCCGGACTCCTGGCACCGACAGCAGTGTGTCCCGCACGGGCTCAAATCCCACATTGCACGGGGTACCTGCAACAAGCACCCACCATGCCTTATTGACAGGGCAGCTCCTGCCCAGGGGCAGCCCCCAATTAGGCTCCATATCCCCTAATGTTGTACCCGTTCAGCCCACTGACCCCACACAGTTCACCCTCTGCCTGACTGCTCCTTCCAGCAATAGGAGGCCCAATGCTGGAGCTAGTCCAGCGAGTTGGCTACAGGGCCTGAGACTGGGGAGCAGTGGCATCTGGTTCACCTTCCATGAGGACTCGAAGAACATCTCGGAGGGTTGGAGCTGTGGATCCAAGGGCACAGATGGAGAAGAGAAATGTGCTGATAGGGTCAGCTGCCTTGTATTGAGGCTGTAGAGAAAGAGATGCCTAAGCCCAGCAGCAGGAAGCTTAAAGAGAAAGATCTAGGGGCATCCTCAACTAGCAAGACCTGAACATCCCACTAAGAACCCTGCTAAGGAAAAAGGGAATGTGGCCAGGGCTAGAAGTGTTGGGGAGCTAGGAGCTGGAGGGAGGAGGGTGAGTCTTGGGGAGGGGGTAGCTGGGGCCTGCAGGGGAAAGGGAGGCTGGGGCAAGGTTCAGGACAGTACCTTGAAGTAGATGAGGATGGAGGCGGCCAGTACCCCAAAGCTCTGCAGGAGGTCCCCCAGCACATGCACAAAGGCTGCTCGGACGCTGGTGTTCCCCAGGGGCAGAGGTTCCCCGGGCCCTTCCTCCAGTGGTGCATATTCTGCCCCCCTAGACCCATGGCTATGCGGTGGCCCAGCCTGGTGCAGCACAAAGGCCATTCTGAGGGGGAAGCAAAGCAGCTGAGCCCAGGTGACCTGCACATGGTCTCCTCTGCCCCTCCTCCCATGCCTCCTTCTCTGGCCTCCCCAGGAGCCCTTCCTCCTCCCTGGTTTCCCAGCCCCAGGAATAAAACAGCATTGTTCAAGAGAGAAATAATGTAGCCTGGGGGAATGAATATTGGACTTGGGGCCAGGAGTTCTGGATTCAGATCCGAGTCCTGTTACTTAAATAGCTATGTGACTTAGACAAGTCAACTGGTCACCTCCCAGGATCTTCACAAATGTCTGTTTACTCTGACTTCACAAATGTCTGTATCTCAGTCCCTTCTCAAGCAAACCCAGGGCAGCACAGTTGAGAGCTGCGTGTTTGAACATCTATTAGCATGACAGCATAGTGGTTATGAATCGGACTGTGAGCCTTTATCCTTTCTTACAGTTCGAAACTACTTCCATGGGAGAAAGATGAGGCTTTCTGTTCCCATAAAGATTTACAGCCTCGGAAACCCTGTACAGGGTCACTATGCATCGGAACCGACTCCACGGCACATAACCACCACCATCAACATGGGGAGCCTGCTCTCCCATCCTGGAGCAGAACCCCTTATCTTGAGCCCCATGAGGTGCCTGCTCCCCACTGGCACATACAGCAGATTGGCACAGACTGCGATGCTGGCGGTCAATAGCATGGCACCCCCTTCGATGTGGTAGTCGCTGTGCAGCAGGCGGATGAAGGCCAGATACAGGAGAATGCCAGTGACCATCCACAGGGAGACCACAGAGGCCAAGGCCCCCAGAGTCTCTGCAGGGGGAGATAAGCTATTAGAGGCCTGCTGGGGACCCCCAAAAGTACCTTCTGGCAAGACTGGAGGGCCACCAGGTCATGCAGGGGCCTTACCTGAGCGATGCCAGCCAAAGGTCATTGTGCGAGTGGCTGGACGGGTAGAGAGCCAAAGGGAAAAGAGGCTGGCCATCATGCTGCCCACATCCGCCAGCAGGTGGGCCGCATCGGTCATAATGGCCAGACTGTGTGCCAAATACCCACCTGTAAGGTGGTTCCATTAAAAAAATATATATGTGTGTATGTGAAAGAGAGAGAATTAAAATGTGAACTCTGGTTCTCTCTGATGATGCTATTACAGGGAATTTTATTATCTTCATGACACTCTTCTATACTTTCTAGCTTTTCTACAACATTTGATTTATTTTAACAGCAATCACTTAAGCATTTAAAAAGCAGTCAACCCTGAGAAGTCAGTGCTAAATAACCTGGCCTTTATCCTTCTTACATCTGGAGTCCTGGGCATTCTTTAGAGCATTCAACAACCCCATGCCAGCCATCCCCATCTTCTCTGCATCTCCATCAAGGAACCTCCCTGGGACCCTGGGTGGTGAGTGACTTACGTAAGAGTGGGAAGGAAGGGTTTGGAGGAGCTGCTCTCCCACTTACCGACCACCTCTCCAGCCATAAAGACACAGCACACAGCACAGGCGGCACACAGTTGCCTCCGTGCCTGCAGTCTCTCAGGGGTGAGCCCCTGCTGTGACATGGGGTTCCTGTGGCAATGGTGGAAGGACGTCTCCACAGGTTTGGGCTGTTCTGGGGGGGTCTCTGAGGGTTCTGTGAAGAGACTGGGGCAAGCAACATGGTTCAATCTGGTGTTTGGCCTTTGGGCTAACTTGGTCCTCAGTGTCCCAATCTGGCCTCATCAGACATGATCCACCTATCACTTTTCAAAAGGCCTAGTCACACTTGTAAGGAGCTCTGGTAGCATAATGGTTATGAATTGGGCTGCGAACCATAAGGTCACAAACTACCAACTGTTCCACAGCAGAGAGATGAGGCTTTCTGCTCCCCTAAAGATTTACGGCCTCGGAAACCCTATATAGGGTACCCTCTCTATGAGTCGGAACCAGCTCCAAGGCACATAACAACAACAATTACACTTGTAAGCCTTGTAGACAGAGAGAGAGTCACTTGTGAGATGAGGGCTAACTGAACAGCTCAGACTCAACCTTTCCTTTCCTTCCACACACAGACGTATAGAATTTCACAGCTGGGAAATACCAAAGAGATGGTCTAACCCAACACTATTAAATAAATTAGAATTATGAGGCTCAGGAGTCCTGGTGTAGTGCTGTAGGATAAGCACTGAACCGCTAATCACCAGTTTGGCAGTTCAAGCTCAGCAGACACTCCTCAGAAACCCTACACAAGGTCACTATGAGTCATAGCTGACTCGAAGACACTTAACAAAAATGAAAACAACAACATGAGGCAGAGGTGAGATTAGAACCTAACCAAATTCAAAATTTACTTGTTAGGATAAGGTACCACAAAAAAATACAAAGTGAGCCACACATTCTTTCTGATCTCCAGGATCTTTGGAGGAGCAAGATATGTACAGGAATAGCTATGACCTGTATCAGAAGTTGGCCACTGCCATTAGAGCTCTTTAGACAAGTCTATCAAGGCTCAGAAGATGGAGGAATAGATTCATACTGAGGAAATCAGGGAAACCATGGGAGGAGGTAATATGAGATGAGCCTTGAATGATGGGAAGGATTTTGATTTTGATAAGGATGTGGTAACATGTCAGGGAATATGAAGAGAAGATGGTGTCAAAGTATGGAGCAGAACTCTTAGTATATGATCCTGGCCATAGTGCAGTCTAACCTATCTCCTGGTACCCACTCCCAGATCCTATGTCCTCCCTGGACACAAGAGCTGTTACTATGAAGTTATGGTTTTTTAAGAAGAGAGTGCAATGTTGGGATCCCAAACATCTGAAGTTCCTGGCAAAAGAATTGATGACTAGATCCCAGAGCTGGGATTGTCATGGAGAGGAGGTACAGACTGCTGTGCTTGGGGGTGGTAGTGGTAGGGGCACTAGATTTGGTGTCTGCCATGTGCTAACTGAACCTCAGTCTGATGATCATAAGCCCCCAGAAGAGGCCTCCCCCTTAACTGCACAGTGTGCCATAGCCTCACTTGCTGAATGAGATGGGAACCCATCAGGGATGCCAGAGATTGAGCTAAGGCTGAGTTTTAGGTCCATTTGGACCCAATTCTCGTCCACTACTAATAAACCTGAACCCCAGAAAAGAGAGACCTTCCACAAAATAAAGAACCCAAATAGAAACTGCAATCCAAGAAATACTCATGCAGGTGTGACAAGAATACCCATGAATGAAAAACGATGAAACGCGATCATAGCAGTAAAGTGGGAAGGGTGCCAAATAGGTGAATTGAGGTTTGAGGGAGGTGGAGAACATTTGGTGCTTATAGGGAAAAATCAAGTGCTTACAAGTCCTGTTGTGATGCTGCAAGTTAATGTACTGGACTACAAAGTTGGTATGGACTACAAGGTCGGTGTTTCAAGATCACCAGTTGCTCCTCGGAAACCCTATACAGGATCGCTATAGGTCAGAATCTACTTGATGGTTAATTTCTTGAAGAATTTTGATGTATTTAATTCTAGTTGTGTTTCCAAAGCTGAGGAGGAGATGAGAGTGGCTTTGAAACTCATCCTCATTCATTTAATAAGGTATACCAGTCAATGTAAATAAATGAAATCCATTCCAGTAGAGAAGGCAAATGTGTAACAAATGACACAAAGAGAAGCTAGTGTTGTAAGGAGTAAGAACAAAGGACTTTGGGGCACAGGGGAGGGAGTGACCAACTCTAATGAGGTGGAGAGAATTTCACTGAGGAAGAAATGTTTAAGGAGATGTGACCTAGCTGAGACTGGAGCTCAGTGGAATGACAATGACAAGGTCTCAGGTTTAGAATGTCAGTGAGAGGATCCTAAGGAAGGGATGAGGATGGAAGAAATAGAATCAGATGAGAATGAAAAGAGATACAATGATTGATTTAGCAGATATTTCCTGAGCCCTGAGATGATCATGTTGATGTGTAAATTTGGGAGGAAGACAGGAGATGAAGGGATCTAGAATAGACTAAGCCAGAGGTTCTTTGTCCAGTTTTAGAGGAGAAGCAGGTAGGTAGAGAGGAATCCCTTTTAGAAAATGCTGCAGGATTAGGTGACTAATGGTCATATGAGAATGAAGATGAGTTGGGAGTCAGAAATGAGGATCCGAAGAGCAGACATGCTGAGTGGTCCTGGGGCGGTAGGCAAGATGTTGTCCCTGGTCCTATAAGGCTCAGCTGAGCCAGCCACCAAGATTGCCAAGCATCAACAGGCTGCTTCCTTTTGTTCTGCATAAATTGGGCACTAAAGCTCCTTATTGTTATTGATGTGTGTGTGCGGTGGGGGCTGGGGGGTAGTAGGGAGCACTATATTCTCTTTAGAAAGAAGGAAAGGCAGTTTCCTCTCACTGACCCTCTGAAATTCCAAACAACAAATAACACTGAGAGGGGAGAAGGGAGATGTACGATGAGGGAGAAGGGCCTAAATTGTCAAAAGGATATCAGAAGAGATGCCAGGGCCAGGGCTGGAGCCCCCATGAGTTGCCCACATCTGCAATCCCCCGCAGGAGGAAGCCAGATGGGAAGTCTTCCCTCCCTCTGCTCATTCATTCCCCCTGCCACCCCCAGGTCTATGCTCCCCACCCAGAGAAAGATCGGAAAAACACACAGAAGAGTCACATCAGAGACAAAGGGAGAGAAACAGAAATATTTAGAGAGATGGGAAGAGAGATAATGCTGGCTGGGGATCCTGTCAAATTCTGGAGACAAACGGACGGTCAGCCGACAAACAAAATGGCTAGTGGGAGGTGACCTGGAAGGCGGGTGCATTGGTCTGCGGGACAGGACGCGGGAGGCCGGGCGGGAGTGGAGGCGGTTCCCCAGCCGCCCCCAGCCCGCTGTCCCGGCCGCTTGGCGCGCCTCATTTCACACCTCGCCGCCCCCGGCCCCGTCTGTGCGGAGCCGGGAATACCCCCCACCGCCCAGACCGCACCTGCTCTTTGCTCCCGCCCCCTCGCTTCCCAGAGCCGGGAAGACCCGTCGCCGCCGAGCCAGGGCCCTTTTGGGCCGGGTTTCCACCTTGGCCACGGCTGGAGGGGGCGCTCCAAGACCCAGTGCAAGGTGGGAATGGCTGGCGGGGGCTGCACATAGGGCTCCGGAGCCTTGGCAGGAGGTGCTCCCGCATCCAGGGCCCTGGAGCAAGACAGGCATCCGGCACGGACTCCGGCCCGACGGAGGGGCAGCGGCTCCCGCGAAGTCAAACCAGGCAGGGGCCGCGGGGGTCGTGGGGCAGCGGGGTGGCGCAGGGAGTCCTGAGGCTTGGGAAGGAGGGAGCTGCCAGGGCACAGTTCCCGAAAGCTAGGGAAAATGGGGGTGGCCGGGAGGAGACGTAGCGGGCTGTTGAGGGGCAGGGGTCGGGCTGGCGAGTGGGCAGGCTGGGAGAAAGGGGTACCAGTGAGGGCGGAGGAGATGAAGCCCGGCGCAGCGAAGCCGAGGGAGCCCACGCTGAGGGAAACAACAAAATGGACCGATGGCAGGCGGATGGCGCCCCGGGCCGCGGCTCGGCCCAGGTCAGCCCTACCTCTTTAAACGCAGGCCGCTGCCATCGCCGCTGCGGTCCCGGGGGCTCACCAGGCGAGTGGTCTCCGAGCCCCCCGTGGCGGGAGAGGGCTCCATGTCCGCGCTGCCACGACCGTCTGGGCCTAACCGAGGGAGGGAGAGGCGGGGCGGGCCCCGCGCCAAGTCCGAGCGGCCCGCAGACCCCCGGACTCCCCGCAGGGCCGCGGGGCCACCAGATTAGAGGGAACTGCGGTGACTGTAGCGCTGAGAGTCCAAACTGCAGAGCCCGCGGCTGCTGGAGCCCCGCCCTAGAAACCCCGCTAGGATAACTAAAACACATTTCCCGGCCCAACGGGCCAGGTAGGTAGCTGAACTCCTTCCCTAGGGTTCTAGAGAATATCTCCATAGCCCCTCCCACAAGATGAGAGGGCCCCGCCCCCAACCCAAGCCCTGCCCACCTGTTCCTTGCGATCTCCTCCAGCCTAGGATCCCTTCCACCAAGGAACACTGCCCCTCGCATGCCCACTCACGGGACGTCGCCTCATTACCCATGTATGTCACTTGTCACCTCGTGGTCCCAGCCCCCATGTGTATTTATTACCTATCTCGAGAGAACCAGAAAAAAGGGTGCGCGTTCATCTGACACACCCCAGAAGCTTCCAGGGATTCCAGTCAGAGACTCCTTTGTGGAGCGTCTGGGGTCGGAATTTGCGTGTAAAACCTGATGCCAAGCACCACTAATTATCATTTATTTTTATACAGACATACTGGTGACAAAAAGCGTCCCACATTTTTTCAATCCATTATTATCCCTATTTTTCAGGTGAGGAAACTGAGGCCGAGGAAAAAGTGTTCAAGGTTATGCAGCAGATACATGAACGTCCTTGCCTGGAATCCTGTCTGCTTTTCCTCCCGGGGTCAGAGACCTGTGCTGCCGACTCAAGAGAGAAAGCACGTCGCTAAGCCAAGTCACCTCTTTGGAGTCACAAGCCACTGTTCATGAAAGAAGGTTGCGGTCAGCCTGGCGGCAGGTGATTCCTTACTACCATACCTGTAGCATTTCTCTGGACATTATCTCATGAAGGAATGATTCTACAGCAGAGTCAGTGGTCGAAACTCTATGCCCCTCGCACCTGCTGTCACTATAGAATTAAAAAGGGGTGTGGGGGGGTAGAATGTGCAATCTAAGCAGTGACAGTCTGTGAAGAGGAGGGTCCGTAGGAAGAGGGGAGAGCAAATATGAATGGGAAAGCGTGGAGGGGTAGAATTGGAGTTGAGGAAAGAAACCCGTCAACCACACCCTTCCGAATACACTGGACAACCAGAATTTTTAGAGTTCTAGGGATAGACGCACAGTCCTTACCTCATATTGTTGTCCAAATAATGAGACTGTGGTTGGAACTGATGGGGTTAACCTGGGAGAGCTTCGCGGAGGAGGTGAGGCTTAAACGGATTAAGCAAGCTGGGTGGCGGGCTGGCTGTTTCGGCGGGGGAGACTGCAGCTCTGCCAAGGTTTGCGGGCGGCGTGAGCGAAGGGATCGTTCTGAGCGATAGAGCGGAGCGAAAGTAGGAATGAAAGGGTCTGCATGTTCGCTCCTCCAGGCATCTCCGCCTCCGCCGCTCCCGGGACCGTCGCCAATCTTTTCCTCCGCGCGACCCCCATCTGGCCGAAAGACCCAGCCCAAAGCCCACTCGGGCAAAAAAGGGGATGACTTTTTCCTTCAATTTCTCAGCAGCCTAGAGGTGTGGAAGTGGAAGGGTCACAGAAAGGCAAACTGAGGTTATGAGAGAGAAAGCCACCGACGAAGGTCACTTTGTTGGCCCTCGTCAGAGCTAGGGTACGCCCCCGTGCCCCCCGCCAGTCTGTGCCAGGGCTCCAGTTATGTCCCGCCAAGCGCCCTCGGTTTTCGAAGCTCCTCACTCGGTTGGGGCCTCCCAATTCTACACTGTCCCAGGGCTGGGGCTCTGCAAGGGCACCACGCTCCAGAGATAGGATGCTGGACCCTAGCCCGTAACCACCTGGGTTAACGAGATCAAGAACGGGGAGAAATTTCCGTGCCCTAAGGAAGCCCTAGGGAAGGGGCTTCTTGGCAAGATTCAGACAATGATGACTACAGGGACATGATAATAACAATGGCTTCCTCCAGGATTTCCCTTCTGCGGACACAGTCCTGGTGCCCAGGAGGTGGCGCAGACACTGGTTTGGGGCAGCCAGCACCGGGAGGAGCGAAAGGCTGGAAGGGAAGCGTCGGAGCGGATGGATTATAAAACTATAAGGCCGCCTCCTGAAGCCTAGGGCACTCGCAGTGGGAAGACCAACAGTTGCCTTCGCATGGAAATGTGTGTAAGAAAAGCCTGGCAGTAAAACACACTGCTTGTACCTGTTTCTCAGAAAACCATCAAATGGACCTATGAAAATCTTTGCTAAGGGTTCTCTGTAATGTGGGGCCTGAGGAGGCCTGCTGCACCTAAATAAAAGCCAAAAATTCGAAGGTCAGTTTAGGGCTGGTGCGGTGTATGGAACTGTAGATTTGTGAGAACTATACATTTAACATTTACAGAACAGGCACTCTGCTATGTTCCTGTCCTTGCCATGCACCCTGCTAGCTTAGCTGGGAATTCTGGTAAACAAGACAGATGCATTTCCTCCCCTTCAGGTTCTAATTTGATTACAATCCATTGCTATCTTTTGTTATTGATTTACCTGGAGCTCTGGTAGCGTAGTGGTTACAAATCGGGTTGCAAAGCACAAGGTCAGCAGTTCGAAACTACCAGCTGTTCCGCGGGAGAACGATGAGGCTTTCTGCTCCCCTAAAGAGTTACAGCCTCGGAAACCCTGTACAGGGTCGCTATGAGTTGGAACCGACTCCACGGCACACAGCCGGCCAGCCAATACTTTCCTAAGGAGCTCTGGTAGTGTAGTGGTTACAAATTGGGCTGTGAAACGCAAGGTCAGCAATTCGAAACTACCAGCTGTTTCGCGGGAGAAAGATGAGGTTTCTGCTCCCGTAAAGAGTTACAGCCTCGGAAACCCTGTACGGGGTCGCTATGAGTCGGAACAGACTCCATGGCACATAACCACCACCACCACCACCACCATACTTTCCTGCCTCAGGTATCCCATCTTCTCTTAGGTCTTTCTTAGTCCCAAAGGACTGATGGAGGCAGGATATCCTGTTGTTAAGTTCTGTAGAGTGGACTCCAATACATAGCGACCCTGAATAGGGTTTCTGAAGAGCAGCTGTTGAGCTTGAACCACCAGCCTGTGGTTCAAACCAACTTAGCACATCTGTGGATTCCCAGTAAGGCAGAACAGTGCCTTTCCAGAGGACCACAGAGGGAGGCTGTGAAGAAGTGTACGCTGGACCAGTTCAAATAGGGAGAGATGGAGAGTTAAACCCAGGCCTGATAGGGATTTAAGCTGTAGGGGTTACAAATTGGGCTGCGAACCACAAGGTCAGCAGTTTGAAACTACCAGCTGTTCTGCAGGAGAAAGATGAGGCTTTCTGCTCCCATAAAGATTTTCAGCCTCCTGTACAGGGTCACTATGAGTCAGAACCAACTCCACAGCACATAACCACCACCATCACCACCAGAGATCTCAAGTACGTTTGGGAATCCAAATATATGGACAAGAGTTGACAAAAAGTCCAAGCCAGAATCATTTAGAATGGGAGAAAATGTGGAACAAAATTCAAAATTATAAAAGAAATTTTATAAATCAGCCTTACTGATCAGAAAGAGACTGAAGGAACCCTAGACTGTATGGTCTTTGAGCACCCTTCAGGTCTGGAAAGGAATTTACCCTGTAGCCCAATGTTTCAGCCAAACAGGTACATGGGGGATGGGGGAGAGACAACAACACTTGTAAGGTATACTCACCATGGAATGGTCAACCATTCAAAATCAAAAGAGCAACATTTACCTAAGGACAAAGTTGAGAAGGAGTGGGAAAGCGGATGGAATGTAGACAGGAAACACAGGGAGTAAGTGGAATAATTTACTTGTTGCGTGAAGGGATTGCAAACATTACGACAAAACAAGTGTATGATTTGGTGAATGTAAAAGTGTCTGTAAACCTTCACTCAATTCACAATAAAAAGTTAAAAAAGAAAGACAGGAAAGTCTAAGCCAGACTGAAGTGTATGGACAGAGGTCATTGATCAGCAACCTGAGGGTTCAACTTTTACTCTTTTCTCTGCTCAGATGTTACCTCCATGAAGCCTTTCCTGACTACCCATAGGTTAAGCTATTAAGTGCCCCTCCCTGATACTTTCAAATAGAACTTTAAACCAGTCTTGGTTCCATCATGGCTAATGAAGCGAAATCAGAAGTGGAATGATAACAGGAATGGGAAAAAGTATGGATTAAAGTCCTGGAAGGGAATTCGGAAGAGATGTAGTGAGCTCTTTCAGAAGCCTGATGTATGAGACTGGATTATTGCCAGAACTGTGGAGAACCACACATATTCAAGCAGTAAGCCACCATTTTTTAACTGGGCACAGCTGTCAGCCTAGAGATTTGGTTGCTATGCCCTTGTTTTCTAAAAGGGAAATAAGCTTCTAGCAAAGCATCAACTCATAACTTTTCCCATTCCAGTCATTGTCCTGGTTCACCTACATTTATAAACTGCTTTCACTTCATCAGTCATGACTGAACCAGAAAGAACCAATTGAAAGCATTCAAGGTTCACTGTGTTTCCTGACCATATAATGAAATTGTCTCTCTGTCTGTCTCTTCACTAGAGTGCAAGTTATGTCTTTCTCGTCATTTGTTTCCACATAGTGACTGGCACATAGTCCTTAAGGAAGCTATCCCAGAAAGGAGAAGTTTATTGTCAGAGCAGAAAGCAGATGGAACAACTAGGATCTTTGTTGGACCTTAAAGGGACATAGAATTTATTGATAGAAAGGATGAGGGAGAACGACAGCTTAAATGTCACCTCAGGAAGGCTATTATGACCTACACTTATAAATGCAGTAGCTCAAAAGAGGAAACAAATCCCTGTTGCAAGAATTATTCCCACCCCCTCCACACAAAGAGTAGACAGGGACATTGGTTACCCAAAATGGGGGGAGGGATACAAAGGTAAAAAGTGACTGGCTTACAAGCTTTCAAGAGGGAACCTAGATCCAAAGGGCGTGGAGGAAGGTAGAGTCTCCAGTGAATAGTATCCAGCCTGTCCAGGAAGGGCTGATGAAATGAAATACAGATGGGTCTCTTGTGATGCAATAGTGAATAATTGTTATCAGGACTGA